TTTTACATTTCTTATGGGCTGTATACTATGTTCAGTGGCATAGGCAGACTTGTTGACAAATAACGGTACATGAAAAAAACAAAAATCTCCATATATATGATTTCTGTACTACAGATTGCGATGAAAAAACGCAACGCATAGAATTCAGCGCTGAGCCAGCCAGAATGTTTTCAGTTAGCTAGCTGACATTAGCCAAATATATTGTCTGTTCATCATCTATGACAATCATGTATGAAGCGACAACAACAATAAAAATTATTTTCAATTCAGTTGTTCAACGACAATCGCTAAGAAAAATAAATCCGATATTATCATTATTGAATGTTCAGATGGATATTCAAATATTGGAAGATTTGCCGAAATGACTTCGGGTAGGGCCAGTGACTTTTTTTTTGCGCCGCCCGCGTCCTGGTGCAAAATTTTTTTAGGGCCCTTGACTGAAACAGTAGGGCAGCCAGACATGATTTTTTGAAAGACGCATTTTCGAAGAGTATGCGAAATTTTTCTCAGAACCCCTCTTCCAAGAAAAGGATCTGTAGGCACTATATGCTAATGATATCATTATTTTGTTTGGTGTTTTCTATTGAATGCTATCTTTCTTTTCGGATTTCATTTTGGGGGCACGCAAACACGGAACTGTTTTTTAGTAATTTATAATTCTATTAGTGAGACGTAAAAGAACGCAAGTTTATCCAACTTCGTAGCAATAAAGAGAAGTATGTTTCATTGCAACTAATAATGGTTAAAAGAATGTATGTTCGTTTTTAGCGGGTCCTCGTGGTTTTTCACGGTTTCCGCGAAACTGATAAGAGATAACAACATGGTGTCTTCGGCAATGTTGTAGTACTCGAGGTCTTCTATAACATTGCCGAAGACAGTTATCTCTTATCGCTTATCAGTTCCGCGAAAAGCGCGAAAAATGATAAGAAAAAAAAGTTCTATACAAAATTTGCTTTTTCATGTGCGCGATTTGCGCGCAACTGATAAGAGATAAGAGTTACCTGCCTTCAGCAATGTTATAGAAGATCTCGAGTACTACAACTTTGCCGAAGACACCATGTTGTTATCTCTTATCAGTTGGCCGAAAACCGTGAGGACCGCGGAGGCTAGACGGTGCTACAACATACTTTCTTTTAACGCAGATAGAATCAACAGAAAACATACTTTCCTTTTCAAAAATATAAATCGAGAAAAAAACATACGTTCTTTTACGTCTCACGAATATAATTCAAATCGACCAAGGGCGCCGAAGTGCCTGAACGCCAGAAGCGCTGTCATGTAGAGACAATAGAATCTCGCGCCCTTACATCTCTCGTTTGATTCAGTCAATGACAGATAGCTGAGGATATATGCTGGGCATAGGAACTCAGCAAGCTGAGATTGGGACGTTTGGATTTTTCGACTTGCTATTCGTGCAAATTTATGTGGAATTTTGGTGGAGTGTTGATGGAGTCATGGAGTGTAATGGAAAATGTGTTCCAAACTCCTCTCCATCATAAATTTGTTTGAATAGCACGTCACAAAGTCAAAATATCCCAATCTCAGCTTGCTGAGTTTCTATGCTCAGCATACATCCTCAGCTATCTGTCATTGACTGGTTTGATTTGAATTTAAAATAACTGAAAAAAATTCATATGGTGCTCGAGCACCTTCAGCGCTCTCGTGCGCCCTCATATCGTTTGCACTCTGGTGCATTGTACCAGTTCGCTCCCGGTAAAAAAAGTCCCTGGGTAGACACAAAACAATTTTTTTGAATGAAAAATTATAGATAAATTGTACAATTCAAATCAGTCATTCTTGATGTATTTAACAATTTATTTGTCTCTTTTTAGTCAGTCATTAGCCAGCCAAAAGTCACAAATTAATTGGTTGTCTACTCAGTCGCAAAATTTCCATACAGGATGTTTTTTTCCAACAATCAAATGCTAAATTGTTCACAATTCCGTAGAATTGAAGGTAAATCAGGCTCTGATTTTTGAGATATGAACGTTCATCTGTCGCAATAAAAAGGGGCGTGCAATGATGCGACGTTATTTTTTTAACCCTTTTACCATTTGATAAGAATTTTGTGTTGCAAATGAAGGAGCATTGGCAACGATCGTCCCTTATTACTTTTCCGCACGCCCATGTTGTGTGTAAAAGTATTGTAATCACTCCAAAACCTAGGTACCCCAAAAAACCATTTTTCTATCCATTTTCGACAACAAAAAGCACGATACAGTGGTTATTTTGCTATGTTAATGTGGGTGTGTCGTACCCTGTACGCTGTACGCTGTACGCAAAAATTTGTTAGCACGATTGCTCAAACACCAGAATAGGAAATGAAATTCTGCAAGTACCAAACGTTTGTGCTTCGTTAGACTTGAAAACCATTAAATTTTCAGCCACCCCAGATGTACCCTAGGATACCTAGCCTATGAAAAACCTTCAAAAAATCGAACTTTTGTTCGGGAGGTACCCAAAATAGGCTTCCCAGGTGGGTTTTATCATGCCCACCCGATTTATTTCATCAAAATAATAGGGGCCCAGGAACAACTTAGCACCCTTTTGCTATTAAATCGGAAAAAATCGCGCTTTTGTATGAGAGTTTCAAATCCCTCTTTCGCTCATTGTTCCATGGATTTGAAGGGCGGCCATATAAATACAATGTAGAACAAGCCCGCAGAGCTTCGCTTCGCTCCGCTCTGCATTCTTGAGTTTTTAGTTATTTAATCTATTTTGTTGTTTCACAACAAACTATTTTTTGGCGCACTACATGAAATGTATTTCATCAAAGGAACTTTGAAGTAATATATTTATTTTCAAAATGAATCACAAGATCTTGGTTTTATTTCTTTTTTGAAATACACTGCCTTTGGTTTAAATTAAATAAATAATATGAGCATAGAATCGAAAGTCACTTTAATTCTGTTCAAGACCCAGAAAATACTGTACAAAAAATTAATGTAATTTTTAAAAAACATTTGATAATAAAAATTTGACTGGCGCTTTGAGATGTTGTGCACTTATTTGTCGTTAGTGCACCTGTTTTAAATTAAATAAAAAATATGAGCATAAAATTCAAATTCACCATAATTTGTTTCAACCAAGTGGGAAACTACTACTACCGCGTAATTTCATATTAATACAATCTAGCACAACACAAATTCTGAAAAATTCCAAAAAATTCTGCGCAATTCAAAACAATTCCAATCGATTCCGATGTTCCTTAGTCAAATTTGGTGATGATCAACTTAAAATATCGCAAATATAGGGACATTTACCATTCATTTGAATGCATAATGAAGATTTTTACTTCCAGAACATATTTGACTTGGTTTGATCTACAAGACTCAATTCTAGCTCTGTTTTCCATTTGAAAATATTTTATGTATCATAAAGCCTTTACCTATTTGAAGTGAAATATTGAATTGGAAGTGAGACCTATGTACAATTAAAAACACCATATCTGAAGTTATTTCGATAAGATTGAACATCTATGCGCTTAAGCATTCCTTTGAGATGCTAAATGACCCTATATTTGCAATTTTTGAAGTTGATCATCATCAAATTTGACTTAGAAACATCGGTATTGATTGGAATTGTTTTGAATTGCGCAGAATTCTTTGGAATTTATCAGAATTGGTGTTGTATTAGATTGTATTAATATGAATTATGCGGTAGTAGTAGTTGCCCCCTTGGTTTCAACACTCAAAAAGTATCTAGAAAAAAAGCAGATTAGTAGCTCTACATTTCATGTAGTGCTAAAAAAGACGCGTTATGATTTTGGCAAAGAAAAATGTGGTTATTTTAAATGGTATTTTTTTCAACTCGTCACATTTTGTTCTAGTTTTTCCAAATCAATATTTTTTTTCATTTTCATTCAATAAAGAGATAAAAACATTTGGATCAAATTTAAAACGAATTTTGGTTTAGTTTCTGAAGAACTGCTCAAAATCTTCACACCCAACATCAAGATTTTCGGAATCATAATACAATTTTCCATAAAATGCATGAACGTACTGTTGTTTTGTTCTGAAAATTCTTATAAATTTCCTAGGCAAAATCTGAATAAAAGCTGAACGCTATGAAAACGGTGCGGAAAAGTTCATCTTACGGAGGTAAGACTGTTTATGAATGATGGCATCGACATACTTTTAACCCATGAAGAATGATCGAAGTAAAAGAGGTAAATTCAAGTTCAGCATGGAATTGAACTTCAAAATTCAATTTATCATTCCAAGTTGTACAACTTTCATTGAGTTTGTGCAGGTTTTACAAAGTAAACAAGTCCCTGACACGTGTTCTTTATTCAGGAAGGCATCATTATCGTTTTAAGCTGTTATCATAAATTAACGGTTGTTCAAGCACCTGTTGCTCATGCGGTAACAAAATTTCGAGTTGTATTGTTTTCCTTTGGCGTGGAAGTTTCCTTGCGAGATTGCGTGAGCGTCAATTATTATTATCACACTCTTGAGCGATATTGTAATATGTTCACGCTACAATTCTAAAATTCAATTGTTTCACTAATTTTTACCGTCATCGAAAGTGTATCAGATTGTAACAGCTAACGTGAAAGCTTGTTAAAATTAGTACAAAAAAGTTGACAGTGTGATTTATTCACGCGCTCAGACAAAGGCCCTGAATCAAACAGTCAGCGACCAACCATCTGATTTTACACATCATTCTCGAGCGATACGCGTACGATTCTACTCAAACAACATGATTTATTCGACCATTTCATGGCTCGTGCTGTGTCTCGTTTTGTCATTATTTATAAATAATAAAAGAGTATTTTCATTCAAAAGTTTATAAATATAAATTAATTTCTCCATAGTTATGTTTGTGTGATGTGTAGGCTTTTGGATCAATGATCTTTCAAATCTATGTGCAGTTTTACTACCAACATTTCTCTCAAAGGTGCAGACACAGTACAAAAGTGACATATCATCGCACTCGTGCGTCATTCTGCTGGCTCGAAAATAGGAACAGAAAAAATACAATGTTTGTCAAGTGGCGACTTTCCTTTATTTCATTCTTCCAAAAGAAGACATTTTCGTCGAGAAGACTCTTGGGAATGTGGTAAATTCTAATGATAAAATTAAAATGAGCTTAAAATTGAATTTAAAATATTATAAATTGTGCGTTTGTTTCTGATGGAATCGATTTACTACTATTTACATTGTCTTAAGAAATTCAACTACATACTGAAAAGTTGGTACTTGAAAGCTTATCAAAAAGCTGAACGCATTTCAAGGTTATTTGAGTAAGTTCATGATTTCATCGTAGCTTCTGCCTTTTGTTTCGGGCATAAGACAAATGATGAACATCGCACTCGACAAACAAACTCCGGCAAACAAGAACATCGTCCCATGAAATCCAAGTGTGGCAGTCAGAAGTGGTAGAAATTTGATCACAATGAACGCGGTTGACCATAAAATGATCATGCAGAACGATGTACCGAAGTCTTTCAATTTTTCGGGCAATACTTCTGAGATGACAAGGAAAGGCAACGACATCACTGCCCAATTTGCAATGAAAATCACAAACGAGAAGCTTGTGATTGGGATCCAGTTGAAGGTGTTGACCTCAACACCCCATGATTTCAACATCATGTACACACCTAAGGTAATTAGACCAAAAGCAATGCCCATCGACGATACTACGAACAAGAACTGAAACGAAAAAAACTTCGATTTATTTGATTCAAACTTTTGGAGTTGTTGAATGTCTTACCTTGCGACCCGTTCGATCGACGAGATTTGATGCCGCATAACTTCCCAAAAGCTGAATTATACCAACAATGATGGCCGACATATTAGGTGACATACTAGATCCAGCTTCTTCGAAAATGTTGGCGGTATAACTATGTATAACGAACAAAAAAAAACAATTTATTTAAGACTTTGATTCCAGACGCATAGAGGACACCATAACGAGAAGCCAAATCAATTAAAAATGTTCTGAAATCTTGAATCGCGTGTCTACCTCTCGATCAGGTACTCACTTTAACATGGCGAAGCATCCGCACAGCTGATTGAGCAGTGCCAGAACTATTCCGATCAACATCGCTGTTCGTCCAGGAGTCTGTATCAAATCCGACAATTTCATTGATTCATCCGATTTTCCAGGCTTTTCACTGTAAAGGGCGCTTCTCAATCGACTCACTTCTGACTGAACCAATTCGTAGTCCCCATCTTTTGCACCCAAATTTTGATAGAATTGAATCGATTTTTCCGCTTCCTTTTTCAAATGGAAAAGAAAGTAATAAAAAATTTAAACATCGAAAACATATGGGTTGAAAGGAAGAGTATAAAATGAATGAGAAAATGGGGGTAAATAAAAATTTGATTTGCAACTCACAGACAATCGGTTCTGTTTGATGAGAAACGATGGTGTTTCTGGGAAGAAATACAGCAGGATGCCACACACGATTGTCAACATAATCACGAATTTTGGAGTCATGTAGAAATCAAAGTAGTTGCCAAAAACGAAAGCCAGCAATATGCCGAAGTTACAGGTTAAAACCAATGTTGAACCCAAGAAGCCTCGAACACTGAAATTATGTATTGGGTGTGGGAATTAGTTTTTTCGATTTTTCAAAAGATGGCGTAACTTTGCATGGTTGTATCGGGCAATACTTTTTTTTCCGCATGAGAGGTCTAGTGTCAAACTACAAAAATCACCATCTATCATTTCATCGAAGTGTAAATGACCAATTTTTTTTGCGCCTTAAATATCGTTTTGTACCGAAAAAGCAACATTTCCGTGAAGCATTAACTTTTTGCTTTCATTTGAAGAAAACTGCGGCTGAATCGCATCGAATGTTGGTGGAAGCCTATGGTGAGCATGCTCCATCGGAACGTACATGTGAACAGTGGTTTGTACGGTTCAAAAGTGGTGATTCTAGCGCGGGAACGTTCCGGCCAGCCAAAAAAGTTTGAAGATGCGGAATTGGAGGCATTACTCGATGAAGATTCAAGTCAAACTCAAGATGAGCTTGCCAGAGCATTGAATGTTGACCGAAGCACAGTTGGATATCGTTTAAAGGCCCTTGGTTTCATTCGCAAGTTGTCAAATTGGGTACCACATGAATTGACACCGACGCAAGCTGAAAGGCGTTTGGTGACTTGCGAAATGCTGCTCGCTAGGTACAAAAAAAGAGGTTTTCTGTATCGAATTGTCACTGGTGACGAAAAATGGATTCATTACGATAACCCCAAGCGCAAAGCATCTTATGTTAAGCCCGGCCAGCCAGCAACATCACAGCCAAAACAAGATATCCACGGCGACAAGGTAATGCTGTGTATTTGGTGAGATGAGGAGGGAGTGGTGTATTATGAGCTGCTGAGAAGTGGTCAAACCATCGATGGGCCTCTCTACCGACAACAATTGATACGTTTGAAACAAGCTATCAAAGAAAAACGAAAGAAATGGGAGACCAGAAAAGAGACATTGATTTTCCTACATGACAATGCTCGGCCACATATTGAGAAATCGGTTAAAAACTACTTGGAAAATAGCGGATGGGAAGTTTTGGCTCACGCCCCGTATAGTCCAGACCTGGCTCCTTCCAACTACCATTTGTTTCGATCGATGCAAAACCATCTGAGCGGAGAGCGGTTCTCTTCAGTTGAAGAAATCAAAATTTGGCTCGATGCATTCATAGCCTCAAAAGACGAGGAATTTTTTAAGGCAGGCATCCGTGAATTGCACACATTGTGGCAGAAGGTCATCGCTTCCGGTGGACAATATTTTGATTGAAATGTAATTTCATTTTGGTATTCAAATAAATGATTGAAAATTTTAAAAAAATCGAAAAAATTAATTCCCACACCCAATAGTTTTATATATTTCTTCATATTTTCTATCATCACCTTCAATCCTTTGATTTTAAAGAATTTAGATCTTTTTTCACTCTAAGCAATGACTGTTCATTTTTTTAACCATTGAGCTAAAAATAGCAATAAAAAAACCAAAACCAGGTGATTAACACTTACCGATCGATAGCAATTTCTGACAAAAATCCAGGCACGATCACAAATATCCCACCTCCCACGAATCCATTCAACCATCTGGATGCATACAAGTAATACACATTTTGAGCGAATAAAATCAGCAACCAACTTATTACAGTTGGAATCGTGAGAATAATTAATGGAATTTTTCGGCCAAATTTGCTAGTAATGATGCCAAAGAGAATATTTCCAATCAAAGCTCCAAAACAGATCAGCGAAGCAATCCACGAGGCTTCATCCATTGTAATTTTGCCCGATGGCAGTGGTGTTTCATCGGATGTCAAAAGAACTATACTGGGACTCTGTTACAAAAAAAAAATTCAAATTCAATTGCGTCCTAAACCAAAAATGATTGTGAGTTTCAATTTATCTTACCGCCCAGCCGCATGTCACGCCGTATCCCATCGGGAGCATATTAACTGTTGCAATCAAAAAAAGGTTATTAGAAAATTCACTGGAATATATTTAACAGATATTTTTTTTTCGGAAATATGAATGAATTGCATAAGAAGTTTGAATAATTTTTCAACTTATTTAATTTGTTCTTTCTTTTCCCAACATTTTTAATTCTCCAGTTTTTTTTTCATTACCTACAAGTGCGACAAGATATTGAAATTTTGCACTTGGTTGGCGCACAGTTATCGGATCACCTTTCGACATTTTCAACCTTTTGAATTCAAATCACTTTACACAAAAAACTCGAAATTATTTAGCCAACTTATATTTTAATTTTATTTGAGCTTCGATCGCTTGCCGGTTAACAATTAAAATTTCTGGCCAAATTTTGTGGTTTTATAGGCGAAATTTAATCTGGAAAAACACAGTTGACAAATGTAGAATTCCTGACAGATGTAGACGGAGAAGAAGTGTCTTGAAAGATTTGACAAAGAGTGATATACCACTCAGCTGACTCTAACAAAACTGACAAAAAACAATGGAACTCGTTCAGAATAATGATGCCTGACAACGAGGACAATTTTGTTGTTGCTCTTAGCTTTTTTTGGTGTAGGTGAAGTGGAGATTTGATTTACAATATAATTTCGTAATCTAAATGCGTGTGAAATGTTTCATGCAATCGCACAGACGAAATGGTTTGGCTCAGCTAATCGTTAGTCATGTGAAATGTTTTTGACTAGCAGTCAAATGTAAAATTGTTTACAGTTTCGTAGAATCGAGGGTAAATCTGGCTCTGATTTTACCATATAAACACTCATCTTTCGCATTTGAAAAGCACGCGCAATGATGCGACGTTATTTTGTAAGAAAATGACGTTTGTTAACCTTTTTACCGTTTGATAAGATTGGTTTTGAAAATGAAGGAACATTGTCAACGATCGTACCTTATGGCGGTAAGTCTATAACGACACACTTTCAAAACATGTCATTAACACACGAAGAATGATGGAGAAAATAACTACACACTCACCAAATATACACACTCCAAGGTTCAGATAGAAAGCAAAAAAAAAGTTAAATTAAAGCGGTTAAGGAGAAAATGCAACCTTTTGCGTTCGATACAAAACAGCAAATAAAACAAAAATAGTGAAATCCTTTCAAAAAAGAGAAAGAAATCCGTGTGACTTCATGTGCCGTTTTAAATAGTTGGCTTTGCGTTGTTGCGTTTTTATAAGCGTTTCGTCTGCAGTTCCGTTTTAACCGAATCGGTTTGCATGTGGCAATTGCATACAATGCAAATTAAGTGATTAGGAACGTGAATTTTGATGTGGCGATAGCATCAATGCATTTAGCTCACCGAATACTGTACCAGGATCGAAAATCGATACCGAAAACTCATGACACATCGTTCGCACTTACGCACAATTTTCAAATGTAATATAATCTGTTGTTCTACGCTTTTGTTTCAGATCTATGTATTAAACTCAAAAAGTCACATTTTCATTCTGATCGCTTTGGTTTCAAATTCAACGTGGTATTGAACTACCAATTTCTATCCAAACATGTGTTTTAAGATTGCTGAGCATCTCAGCATTTCGTAAGGCACGGATATATCCGAGCATATCGACGACGTATACAGTGGCGTGTGTTGCTACGCGCAGCCGCAACGACTCGACCGGAATGTGTATGTTGTTGCTGCGTGCAGCCACATCAACTGAACACACATCGGTCGAGTCGTTGCGGCTGCACGTAGATACACACGCCGCTGTATTATACAGTATGCGTCGTCGATATGCTCGGATATATCCGTGCCTTACGAAATGCTGAGATGCTCAGCAATCTTAAAACACATGTTTGTTTCTATCGACCATTCGATAGAGAGTTCGTGCAGGTTTCGCAAAGTAAATAAGTCCTATCATCTTTAAAAATAAAACGCGTAGCTTCAGGAAGGCACCATCATTCAAATAAGCTGTTATCATAAATTAACGGTTGTTCAACTGTCTGTTGCCCATATGGTAACAATATTTCGAGTTCTATTGTTTTCCTTCGGCGTGAAAGTTTTCTTGAGACATTGCGTCAGCGTTAATTATTATTATTATCATTATTACACTCTTGTGTGCTATTATAACGTGTCCACGCTACAATTCAAAAATTTAAATTTTCCACCTATTTTTGCCGTCATTTGTTTTATTTTCGACGTCATCGAATGTGTATTAGATTGTAACAGCTAACATAACAGCTTGCCAAAATTCGTTCAACAAAGTTGACTGTGTGATTTATTCACGCGCCCAGACATGAGCCCTAAATCAAACAGGCAGCGTCAATGGATGTGCTCACATCAACCAACTGATTCTACACATCACACTCGAGCGGTACGCGTACGATTCTACTCAAACAACATGATTTATTCAACCATTTTCTGACTCGTGCGGTGTCACGTTTCGTTACTATTTTTAAATCATTAAAAAAGTATTTTCATTCCGAAGAAAAGTTCATTCTTCATAGTTATGTTTTCTGTATTCAAATGTACGTGTAATTTTTACGTTTCACAATGCTCATATGGTGAGGTGCCCACACAAATACCTGTAAAAGTATTTCCGAGCTGGACATTCCAACGTCGCCAACCATTGTGTGAAAGCAGGTTTGAATTTTTTTCCCAATAAATATATTGGATTTTAGTTCATCGTTTTTCCATTGAAATTTATAATTTGTTGCAGGTATTTAAACAGAAAGTTTCTCTTTGCTCATCACATTTTGATTTTGGTCTCGTTTGAAGTCGGATCTGTGTTTGGAAGCTTCTTTTTGAAGGAAAATGTCTTGTTCGGAAGAAGGTAACATTTTTTTAACGCATCAGTATACAGTTTCACTTTTAAAAAAACATAACTTTTTGTAATAGTTCAACAGTTCTCTTTATTTGTATTCTATTATTAGTTTTCGCTCCTATAAAATTGGCCCATAACTCAAAGCTATTTATTTTTAAACAGGAGGATGCTTCAAAGCGGGCTCAGTTTCTCAAGAAACAGAAACAGAAACCGATGGATCAAATGGCAAAATGTCAGAAAATTCAGGCGGTCGACAGAAGAGATACATTACCCAAACATCAGAAATCGCAAAATGCAATCAAGTGCAAATAAGAGGACATTTGAGTGATAAATTCGACTGGGACAAACCAATTCCGGAATTTCACAGCAATAAACACTGAGCGACACACCAGATAAATAGCATAATTGTATAATTTAGCCTTCGCGATGTTTGAATCAAGTTTACAAGTAAACCATTTTAGTAGTTTAGTAAAAATATATTGCAAAAGCATTTGATCAGCTCGGTGTCATTCGTTCTCGTGTCCATTGAAAAATTCATTAGAAATTGATCAACAAAACTTTATCAATTTACACTCAAACTGTACGGGTTTATCATCGTTTATAAACCAAAAATGAGAATAAAAATGAGCCTCAAACGTATTGCATGCATTTCATTTGTGTTTTCAATTCTAGTTTGATGCTGATTCTCGTAACGATTTCGACAAACGAGTTTGATTTTAGTTCGTTGGCCAATCGATTCATCTATTCAAACTCTTTCGAAGATATTCCAGTATCGTAAACCATCCAAATTGTAACATAGTCTAAATTGTAACAATTGAAGAAATAGACTTATTTTCTGCAAATCTTTGGAGGGTAACTGTTGTTTCTTATATCATATTTGAGAAGAACACGAAAAAATCTTCCGATATGAATAAATGACTTATTTGTATTTTCTTAGAAAAGTGGTTTATTTTGAGACTATGTTACAATTGGAACTATATTACTATTTGGATGGTTTACGATATTCAAATAGTTTCTTTCATATGGTGGAATTAAGATCAGGGAAAGTCATTTCAGATTTTGAAACCAGTTTTTTGGCGTAAAATATTGAAAGAAATTTGAGTGGACTTTCCATTTTGCTATTTATAAAAATATGGATTTTTATCATAGACTAGACAAGTGAAAGATTGGACAAATTTCACCAACTGAATAGTCTACAATTAGAAACACGTGTTGAAGATCCGAAGTGATTTACTCTGATTATGTTTTTAATTTCATCCATGAAAGAAATCGAACGAGATATATCTTGATTATTCTAAGAAATATTCTGCCAACGAACCGATAAGAAATTTTATCCCCTGACGTAAATACAGGTAAATATTTCTCTGAAAACGTGTGTAGGTTAAAATTATAAACTCTCGATGAACACACGTGATCCCAACGAAAAGATCCTCGTGTTTCCCTTTTTGACAATCTATCTTCTTTGGCGTTGACGTCAAAATGATCATTTGACTATGTGTCACTAAGAACTTATGTTCGCCAATATAAATGTTTTTCGAAGTAATTTTAATGCGTTTCAAAAAACCGGTCTGTGAAAAAGTAAAAAAAAAAAATCTATTTATACTCTGAATTTGTAAACGCGAAACTTTGTGTGAAGAAATATCGATAATGATTTAGTAAACGAACCGCTAATAATTTGAAATATATTAAAATTGTTTCGATTCGAATTGACTTACGTAAATCAATTCATCAATTTTGCATGACGATGAATATGGAAAAGATAAGATAACCATTTCATAGGTGGATAAAATCTGTAAAAAAAATTCAAGTCATCGCATTTGGCTCCCCAACGGAATGTTTTGGAAGATTTTGTTTGCATTCGGTGACCGAGTTTGTCTGCTTGTTCAAACTCGCTCAGCATCGCAGCGACGACCGACTATAACGGTGCGTGTTTTCGTGATGAACGAATTCTGTTATTATTCAAGATTGATTTACACCTGTTGACAACTATCGAAATCTCTTCATGCGGTGACGAATACTTGTGACAAAAGCCAACCGATTTACATAACCGATGTGTATGTGTCATGATTTTTCGGAGTAAATTATTTTAAATGATGCCAACGATTTTTGTTTTCTTGACTAGAGTCAAACCACACAGCAAATAATAGTTAATTTAAAGTTTGAGCTCTTCGTGATGTGTATTGCACCAATTTATTGACCATGAATCGAAGAAATTTGCTTACCCAATTTCATCTGAACCAATAAAAAGAGAATTATGTAACCGCAGCCACTTAAAATGATAACAAGTTCTGTTCGAGTGTTTTTTTTTCGGCGATTCGCAAAAGTTTGGATGCCCAACCGGTAGACTCTGGCTGCTGTAGATTCATCGTCTATAGATCATTTAAATTTTATATACATTTTTATTCAATATTATTGAATTTAAATGTTGCTGGAGGTATTTAAGCGGTGGTAATCTCGATTGCCGTTGGCATTTCAGTTTGTATGTTGCTCGCGAAAGGGTCGTTCTGTTGAATAGCTCAGTAATTTGAAGGAGTCAAGTTGAGAAAAAAAAAATGTGCGTGCAAAAGAGTGTAATTTGTCTGTTGGCAACAACATTGATGTGTGTACTGATGATTTCAGTTCACGGAGCCAGCATCGAGAAATCAGTTTCCGTGTCAGTCAGTACATCGATGTCTGAAAGTAAAAGTGAACCGAAAGGTGATATAGAAAAGGCTAGCGCAAGGTCATTGAATAGTGCCAAAAGTTATGAAGGCAAAGTGGAAATATCCGCATCATATGCCAGAAAGGTGATCAATAATTTCGCAGCCGATGACAAAAGCCGTAGTTTAAAAGAAGAAAAAGAAAAAACGACCAAAAAAGAAGAACAAATTAACACCGCCATCACCACCACTACCACCGAGAAGTCAGAAGAAAAACCAGAATTTACAACAACTGAGTTGAATGAACCAAATGTGAAAAGTGAAAATATCGTTGAGAAAATCGAATTGGAACTGAATAGTCAAATTGTGAAAGAACGAAGTGAAACAACTACTGAAAAAGATGAACCAGGCACGAAGATTATCAACGAAACCGCGAGTAAAAAAGATGATGCAATCACCACGGCAAAACCAGAAACTGAATCGGGCTCAGTCCAAACAAGTTCAACAGAATTAAGCTTCACAGAATCAGTTTCAACCGAATCGAGTACTTATCAATCAAGCTCAACCGAATCAAGCACCAATGAACCAAGTTCAACTGAATCGAACGCAACTGAATCAAATTCCACCGAGTCAAGCTCCACAGAAACAACCGCAACAGATTCAACAGAAACTATAATTGAAACCACACAAATCAACTTGGCCAGTGACAATGTTAATCAAACAGAAAGGAATTTAGAGAGCCGAAGCTTGAAAGAAGAATCAAATAAAACCATCAACGATCAAACCATCGTTTTTGAAGATCAAACACAATCGACGACGACGACAACGACATTGGCAGCGCCAATAATCGATTTAGATAGTCGCGTTGGAACGGATTCTGATAAATTATGCGACGTAAAGGTTAACGGTGAATGCCGTCAGACTTTTCAGCAATAAAACGAAAGAAAATAGATTTAAATAGTTAAAATTAATAGCAATTTATAATTTATGTACAATGAGTGATAATAAATTGTAACTTTTCATATATTTTACAAACTATACTGACTTGAATGATAATAACCGTTACCGAAATGAACCATATTTCCTATTGTTTCAATTTTTTCTTCGAATTTGGTAGAATTTAACATATGGCTTATTGTATTGAATCCATAATATATTCATAGCATGCAATTCGAGAGCTTCAGTTTAAAATGGCATAAAGTGAATAGTTAAAAATTTCAATGGCCATAAATATGCAAGAGTCATGCAGCATGACGTACTAAATTCTCTTAATTGTTCCGGTATGATTTCGGCGAAATCAAATGGAAATGACGATACTACCCATGACCCAACCGAAAACTTGCTAGTGGATTCCGATAAAATGTTTCAACGTTATAATCCAAACGTCGTGCATTCTCCGAATGTTAGACTAAATGCTATTCCACGTGTGTCAATCATATATGCCAAAACTGAAAAAAAAGATTTATAAAAATTAAAATTCATTTCCTATGTGAGAAAAAAAAATTGGAGAAGTTTGCCTTCGCATCTGATCGAAAACATTTATAGAAATACCCAAGCTAACCAATTAAATCAAATTCACGATGATCGCTGACACATTCGGTGATATAGTTGAACCGCCTTCTTCGTCATACGCATGACTATAGTCACCATTGCCATTTATCGCGAAGCAACCGCTACATTATAGCCGCTAGACATTTTGATTCACAATTAGGATTTAATTGTTTAGATGTTTGGAATTTAAACATATGGAAAACGATGAAGGGGTTTTTTCAAATTACTCATTGATTGCATGCCCAATTGCCCACACCATAAATCTTGTAATTGAAATCTTGATTAGAATTGGATTATTCCTTGCACGATGATTTATATTGAGACAATGGTATTGATAGACACTCCCCTTAGAACACGGGGAAAACTGAAGAAGTGTTGAAATGCTATCAGCGCTTTTTCAAAGAAAGTTATTTTTCGATGACTGAATTTTTGTTCCAAAAATTAAATTATTATAAAAGGAATGTTTCTTTTTGAATGACTTGTCACATCATTTTCGGTATTTTAATGTTTCTATATTCGTTATCCTATTCTGTGGATCGTCTTTAACTAGAGCAATGCAAGCTAATGCTTTCTTTAAAATGTTAGATAACTTTTTCTCAAAATAAATGGTTTTAGATTAAAAGGTAAGAAATCCTAATGTCTTTTGTTGACAATCACGAAGAGTCATTGCACTCATAATTACATATGGTTATTCAATACTGACTAGGTGTTTTCTTCTACTCCAACAACTAATTATTCAAAATAAATAGCTATTGTTGTGGTTTTATTTCCTGTATTACCACGAAGTATGTAATATGCACTGTTTTGATCATTAGAGATTTTTCTGGTTTGTTATCTCTCTCGCTATTGAATATCACATAGTTAATGACGCATTTTATTATTGATTTAAACAATAACGCACTATGGGAATATGGTAATGTTTAGTACCCAGCTAGCGCCACTGTTAAGGTGACCAAAAAATGTGTGTTAGATAAGCGATGTTTTCATAATAGAAAAAATCAATTGCCAACAGGAGATAGATAGTAGGCTTGATTCTTGTGAATTTCAATCGACATATCCACGGGCCTCCCTTTGTTCACAAAATATTATTTATATACAATTTTTGGTGCAATCAATTTGATTGTTTGTATTTCTGGCCAACTTGATAAGACTACGTGACAATTGGTCAAGCCAAATCAAATGCACGGGCTATAAACCTCAGGCTAAGAAATTTCCTCATTAGTTTATCAAATGATTTTTTTCGGGTATTTAAGCAAAGTGTCTCTCTCAACCTGGCAACATTTCACTTTGAGCTGACCCCAGAGGCAGTTCGTTTCAAAAATATTTATTTTTTGTGTGCAATCAAAATGATTGGTGTGAAAAATAGTGCGATTTTTCTGTTAGTTATCACACTAACAGATATTATTTATTCCGTCAATGGACGCTCGGTTGATCAGCCCGTATTATTGTATGTGGTGCCCGAAGCTGTGAACGAAGACATTATCGTGCCAAACGTTGCATTGGTGGAAGGTGAAAAAGGTAAAGAATTTTAACAAATATTCCTAGTTCATGGCACACGGTAAAAAAAGATGAAAAATAATGCAAAACCATGCGCACTGCGCATATTGTTTCCTAACTAAACAGTGGCTCCGGTTATTATCCCCATTTCTGATTCTGTGCCTCTTTCCATTCCGAGCGAAAAGGATAAAGTTCAAGTACTGCATGTCATGTTAGACGCATTGCAATCTGTTAATGAAAATGCTATGGAATTGGTTCGTACATACGTCGACGTATTGAACGAAGATGTAGAAAAAATTAATTCCAGAGATGTGACACCGGAATCTATGGGCCGAAAAAAGATTCCACAAATCCAACTGCCACAAGTTCAACTGCCACAAGTTCAACTACCACAATTTCAACTTCAAGTACCACAAATCACTCTAGTTCCTCTCAACACCCAAGTGAGTGAATCATTAAATCAACACATTTGAAAGATAAAATGCATTTTACATGATGTGATTAATCACTAAAAATTACACCTTCCGCAGACTGTTCTTAATCCAATTCATTCGGCTATTGCAAAATACAAAGCGGCCATCAATCATCTTGTGAAGAAATTTAAAGCCGTACCACAACACTTTATCAAAAAGTTCAAAAAAACTGGCTTGTCAGACGAGCCTCAAAATGACGATACACAGCTAGTGGATCCAGTTAAAAATCCGGAGGAAGAGAAACCAGCCGATGAAACGATGACCGAGAAGCCATCAGATGAAACTATGTCGGAAAAACCAGTCGAGAAACCAGCCGAAGAAACAGTGTCGGAAAAACCAGAGGATGCTGAAGAACCAGCACCAGAAGCACGGGCATTGGACATTTCAAATGATGAAATATTGAGTGAAACGGGTAAAACAGCTTAAATCATCGCATCACATATAATATCTTCAACATTGGCATCTATAACAGAATATCAATTCATTTTTCCACTGCTCTAATTGGTCGAGTAACAATTTCCGTACAGAAAACCTTTTAAAATTGTATCTCTGAATATGTTTGATGAATTGCCAACACTCTAATAAAATATATTACTTTTCATAAAATCACCACTTCTCTTTCTCTTTTCTTTCTCAAAAAGTTTTCGATGCAAATACACCAGAAGAAGTTGCAGACAAAGTTAAAAAGGTATTAGAGGCAACACGAAAAATGAATGAGCAATCATTTGAGTTAATTGAAGAATATTTCAATCATATAATTGATTTGAGCAACAAAGATCGGATAGTAGTCAAAAATCCAGAGGATGAAATGGATTTGGAAGAACGAGCAGCAGCTGCATCTGAGGTTCAAGAGATAACAGTACCACTTCAACCAGGTTGTGATATTGGATTTGCTCTAATTGACGGTGTATGTAAAGAAGTGTACACACCTCCAGTGGTGCCAACCAATCCACTTATAGCACCAATCAATGTTTTGGTACAGTTTATTGGCTCTATCTTGGAACCAATCGTGCCGAAAAATATCGCCGAAGATCTTGCAAATCAAGTTAAAATACGAGCAGAAGCTATTGTCCATGAATTTGACAACAATTAAACTGTTGCACTAAGATCGATGTAGATTTTTAAAATAGACTCAAAGATATGTTAATCGCATGACAACTGAAAACAAAATATCTTATGAAAACGATAGAAAAATAAGAAAGAATTAACGATATCTTCACTCCAAGTCCGTTTAAATTGAATAAATTGTTCTTTCTGAAATGGGACGAAAAAATAAATAAACGATAAGCAATTAAATAAAGAAAGTATGAAATAAATAATAATAAATAAAAGAAAATGAAACATTTTTCTTCACAAATGTAATAAAAATATTGTTTTTAAAACAATTATAGTTTCTTCATTCAATTACAAATGTTTGCAAACTTACAAATCATATCTGATCATATGACATGACATTTCTACGTCGAAACATTCAAACTGGCGCCACTGTTGTTTGTCGAACTGTCAAAACCGGATGGGCTCGCATTTGACATTTCAATACCGGTTCGCAGAAGCGCGCTACAATTCTGTTTGGAAATTGCGTTGCATTCAAACAATTTGTTGATCGATAACGATGGAGCGGAAAAAAACGAGTGATTTCCTGAAATTTTGTGGAGACGACATCACCAAACTGCACAATGAAACGGATCCAGGCAGAAGAGCGCATTTAATGCGACGCATAAACATGCAAATGTATGCGGAGGCTTGTAAACAGTAAGTAAACCTTGTCATTGTTTGGTGTATTATACACAACTTCAATTCTGTTTAGTTTATTCACACAGAAATTATGACGACTACACGACTTGCAAAATACTATCGGATGATTTGACTGAGTACGTGAAGGAATCGGCTCCAGTTCATGTGAAAAAATGCGAGGAAATGATGAAAAAGTTGAATATACAAATAGAACCCGGTTCAGTTCGGTCTTCACTAAACATTCCCAATCCAGAGGAGTTGTTGAAATCAAAGAAATGCGAAGGTGTCTGCAAAAATGATGTGCTGTTGGACGATCTGGACAAGTTTTTCAATTTGATGAAGAAGCGGCCCACTTTGACTGTAAACAAACCACCGCCGAAGTTCAACAGTGGCGAACCAGTTAGATCGGTAAAAATGCAGGTCGATGAAAGCGGTGATTTGGTATTCGATATGAATTTCAAGCGGAAGAAAGCGTTAGATCAAAATACACCGAACAATCAACAATTCCAAGCGCCGAGTACAAGTGGCAATCAATGGTCCAGTCACAATGTACGAGCTACGGATTACCAAGCATCATCACTGCCGAATTATCAGCCCAACAATTTCAAACCTGCTGAAACAGTCACTTCCAATGCATTCAATCCATATGGTGGAGTGAAACGTCGAACGGATGACACAGGAGGCAACAATTTCTTCAAACGACCACCCAATTTGCCAAACCGAGGACAAGAAAGAAATGAACCGAACGCATTTGCAGCGAGAAATGATTTTATTACGGCAAACGATGAGCTTAACATTCAATATAATAAAAAGTATGGTGGTGGCAATCAAAACGACAACATGACGTACAACGTGAATCCAAGTGGAGGCTTGAGACGTTCATTGGGCGGCCGTCGAACGGTTACCAACAAATTCGTTCCACCGTTTGCCAATCAAGATAATTATGTTGACCGTTCGGCGAGTTCGAATGAAACCAACGAGATTTCAGGGCTGGATGGAATCGAAGCAAGTCATCCAAGCCTGAAAAATGTCGAACCAAAAATGATTGAAGCGATTATGAACGAAATTATCGATCAAGGTGATAAAGTTGGTAAGTGTCATTGAAAAGAGAGCAAATGGTTAACCGTTTGACTGTCATTCCCGTAGGATTCATGTTTTCTGATTCATAAGTTTAACTCAATAATGAACTTGCTTTCCAGAATGGCATTGCATTGCCGGACTCGAATATGCCAAAAAGATGCTTCAAGAAGCCGTTGTGCTACCAATTCTTCGACCGGATATTTTCACAGGCCTACGGCAGCCACCGCGTGGTGTATTGCTTGTGAGTAAACTCATTGTCATTCATCAAGTTTCATTTTTTTTCCAATCAATTCATTGTTCTAATAAAATTAAACACATTTCAAATAGTTTGGTCCGCCTGGCACGGGAAAAACTATGATTGGTAAATGCATAGCGTCACAGTCAAATTCAACATTTTTCAGCATCAGTGCATCGAGTTTAACATCGAAATGGATTGGAGAGGGAGAGAAAATGGTACGTGCCTTGTTTGCAGTCGCGGCAGCAAAGCAACCATCCGTTGTGTTCATTGATGAGGTTGATTCACTACTGTGCCAACGCTCCGAGAGTGAACATGAAAGTTCACGACGAATGAAGGTACGTCAACAGCTGGGTTCAAATGGATAGAGTTGAGAAAAAAGACTTCTGAGGAATGCAGAGTGTAAATTGTCGCAATTTCATTCAGTTTTTCCACTTTTTCTTTTCACAGACGGAATTTCTGGTCCAATTAGATGGCGCATCAACAATGGAAAAGGATCGAATTTTGATAGTTGGAGCAACAAATCGGCCGCAAGAGTTGGACGAAGCAGCCCGACGTCGATTTGTGAAGCGTCTCTACATTCCGCTCCCCGAATATCCGGCCAGACGAGAAATTTTGTACAGTTTACTCAGTTCAATCAATCACGTCATAACTGAATCACAGTTTGATGAGATTGCAACTCGAGCCGATGGATTCAGTGGTGCCGATATGAAAGTGTTATGCCAAGAGGCAGTCATGGGACCAATTCGTTCAATTTCATTCACGGACATGCAAAATATGTCAGCTGATGGCGTTCGTCCGGTTACATTTACCGATTTTCTCGATGCCCAAAAATGTGTTCGAGCCAGTGTGTCACAAGATGACATACAGCAATATGTCGATTGGACCAATAAATATGGGTCTGGAAGTGGCCAATAAAAGTAATTTTATTTACACCATTTGTTACGAAGATAAATATGTAAAAGTGCAGAGACAAAGGATATTGAATAAATGATAAACCACAAAACACAAAACAAGTCGTGTCATCTGCAGAATATTTGTTTTGTTATGGCGGTTGGAATGACCTAATATTGTGAAAAATTCAACATATTTACACCCCTTACTAGATACAGTTTGATGCAAGTATCGATTTTCCATTAACCTTGTCGAGACAAGGGTATAAAACACGGAGGTATGCATCTTCATATGGCATTCGAGTTTCAATTTTTGTGCAATTCAGAAATGTCTGACGATAACGACGACGATAAAGACAGACCACTTGGTGTCTTTAATCCAAATCAACGTCAATTCTTTGAAGACGAATTAAGATACCGAGAAAAATTGGAACAGCTGCACGCAGGTTTGGGTGAAAAAACTATTTTACTATTTTACTATTTTATGAGCACATTGTTTTTATCACCAATTTTGCGAGTTTGAAAAGAAATTAAAATGAAGGAAATTATCGATGAAATAAAATACTAAGATGAAAAAAAGCATTATTGAAAGTACAGATAAACCTTAGCACTAGCAATCTGTGCCATTTTTCATAAGGCGTCTCCACTCGCATTGAGTTTGTATTGTGAATGTTGAGGTGCGTGCAACGCCCTTCAATGTAAAAAACAATACAAGTGGAGATGATACACGGGGTTTATCTGTACTTTCATTCAGAAAAATCAAACTTCAAATTGTAAAAAAATCAATTTAGCCAAAAAACGTTTAAAATAACACATTATTCTATGGAAAATTTTCAATATACAGATAATTCCAGTCCAACGCATCTTTATATTCGACCAAAAGAAGTTGAATTAGACGTTGATTTGTTGGATGAATATGATTCGTTTTATAAAACGACTGCAAGTTTGTTGGTGCTCTTTCAAATCATGGGTATTATGCCAATTAGACGCAGCGCACCAGGTAATTGCAAATATTCATCCAGTTGTCATTCACGAATTGAAAACTGATCACCAAAAATTACAAAACATTATCAACGAAAAAAAATGCTGCATAAAAATTTTCAGGTGAAAAGATGCCGAGAACTACTTATCATTGGAAATCAAAAGTGTTCTTATGGGCTTACTTCATCTATGGATGCCAGACCATTCTCGTAGTATACACGTTGCAGGCACGAATCCAGAATTTTTTAAAGTCATCAAAACGATTCGATGAGATTATCTACAATGTTATTTTCATAAGTTTGCTGTCGCCACACTTTTTATTGCCAGTTGCAGCTTGGCGCAATGGATCTGAAGTGGCGAAGTTCAAGAATATGTGGACCAACTATCAGCTACAGTATTTTCGAGTGACTGGTACGCCAATTGTTTTCAAGCAATTGGCCGCAATGTCTTGGGTTGGATGTGTTGCTAGCTGGTTGATTGCCATCGTAATGATGTTATCTCAGTATTATTTTCAGCCAGATTTTACATTTTGGCATATTTTCGCCTATCTACCCATCATTGCCATGTTGAATGGCTTTTGTTGCCTGTGGTTTTTGAACACGACCGCCTTCTCGACGGCCAGCAAACTACTAGCGGCGAAAATTGAAGAAGCATTGGTTCTGCCAAGGCCATCAGAGAGTTTAACCAAGTATCGACATTTGTGGGTTGATCTGTCGCACATGATGCAGCAGCTCGGCCGTGCCTATTCCAATATGTACGGCATTTATGTTCTAATTATTTTCTTCACAACGGTCATTGCATTGTACGGCGTTATGAGTGAAGTTCTTGACCATGGAGTCACTTTTAAAGAGCTCGGCCTGGTAATCATCGTTTTTTACTGCATGAGTTTACTCTTTATCATTTGTAATAAGGCACAAGACGCCAGCGAAAAGGTTCGTATTATTGATTTGATTTTTTTGCAAATCGAATTAATTGAAAGAAAAAAACAAATCTAACAAAGGGATATAACGAATCCCGTAGGTTGGACTGGAATTCCAAACACGTTTACTGAATGTAAACTTGACGGCAGTGGACAAAGCGACCCAAAAGGAAGTTGAAATGTTTTTGATTGCCATTCACAAGAATCCACCGATTATGAACTTGGATCAATATGCTGATATTAACAGGAGTCTCATTACATCGGTATTTTCTATTCTTCTTTGTTTTAAAAATTGTTGGCAAGAAAAATTGAATCTTTTCTTTGTGTCTCCCTCTTCAGAATATTTCTTTTATGGCCACTTATTTGGTTGTGTTGCTTCAGTTTAAATTGTCTTTGGTGCGGCAAAGTGCTCGACAAGCGGCCCAGAAATCATTGCTCAATCAGACATTGTTGCATCGTCAATAAGCTTGGCATCGAAATATAAAGGAAAAAAAGAAAGAATAATTGGAGTTGAGTTTCGATACTTGTTTTGCTTTTTCAGGAAAAATGCACGTATTTTCGAACATATTCTATCGATAAAATAAGTGTGTGTTATCGCTTCACTTGAAATAAAATTCTTTCGTTAAATCTATTGGACGTCTTCGTTTCCTTTCTTACGTTTTTCATTTTATAAGACATTCTTGAATTAATCATAGTAATGATCAAATACTCTTATTATCCATTCTGTGTCATAGAGCCATTTATTGAATAATGAATCAGCTTGAGCTAAATGTGGCTAATACTTTTTCAATTACAACATTTGTTGCCAAGAAAAACATGTAAAAGTCCATAGAGAAATACAAATAATTTTCAATAAATGATGAATGGATAATGACAGAAAAATATGTTTGTGTCATGGTCAAAACAACCGAATATCGTAAAAAATTCAATTATCCGCACTCCGTTCTATATAAATTAGTTGAAAAGTATCATCAATCGATTTTTAATTAACCTTAACTGGACAAGGGTATAAAACACGAAGGTATGCATCTTCATCGGGCATTCGAGTTTCAGTTTTTGTGCAATTGAGAAATGTTTGACGATACCGACAACGATAAAGACAGACCACTTGGTGTCTTTAATCCAAATCAACGTCAATTCTTTGAAGATGAATTGAGATACCGAGAAAAATTGGAACAGCTGCACGCAGGTTTGGATTAATTGTTTTTCTACATTTTTAGTTGTATTTCATTGGATATATATGGTTATAATTGGCAATTTTTTTATTTTCAAAGCGAAAAATCTTGGAGAAATTTTCTTTAAATGGCGAAAATGATTAGAGAATAAAATAATGATACTGATGATAATAATTTTTTTTTTTTCAGCCACATTAAAATGAACCTCCAAATAAAATAGTATCGACTTAAAGTACAATGAAGAATATTTTTAAAATATGTTGACATTTCTATCATTTATTCGTCAATTATTAGATAATCCCGATCCAACGCATCTTTATATTAGACCGAAAGAGGTTGAGTTAGACGTTGATTTGCTGGATAAATATGATTCTTTTTACAAAACGACTAAAAGTTTATTGGTGCTCTTTCAAATCATGGGCATTATGCCAATTAAACGCAGCGCACCAGGTGAAGCATCATAGCCTCTGTTGTCCAATTCAATTGTCGACAAATTGTCAATTTTAATTACAAATTGAAAATATCACATTGTCATCGAAAAAATACTGCTCAAACATTTTTCAGGTGAAAAATTGCCGAGAACTACTTATCATTGGAAATCAAAAGTGTTCTTTTGGGCTTACTTCATTTATGGATGTCAGACCATTCTCGTGATATACACCTTGCGGGCACGAATTGAGAACTTCATAAATTCATCACACCGATTTGATGAGGTTATCTACAATGTTATTTTCATAAGTTTATTGTTGCCACATTTCTTATTACCGATTGCATCTTGGCGCCATGGGTGCGTATTTCAGTATGTTAGCGTGATTTATGTAGTCAAATGATCAATGATTGAACCGTAGTTGTTTCGTTCATGTATAATTGAAATATAAGCATTGAAAGTTGGTCTTGGTCTGAAGATACAGAGGAAGATGATGAATGAAAAAATTTCCATTCTTACAATCTTTTCAACCATTTTTCTAAACTGTTTAGCCACTGAAGGTCTTCAATATGAATGACGATCCATATTTTCGAACAGTTATGGGGTTTTTACTTCATATTTTTCCAATTTTATTTGATTTTTTTTAGGTCAGAAGTCGCGAAATTCAAGAATATGTGGACCAACTATCAGCTACAGTATTTTCGAGTGACTGGTACACCAATCATTTTCAATCAATTAGTGTCAATGTCTTGGATTGGGTGTGTTGCTAGTTGGATGTTGGCCGTCGTAATGATGATATGTCAGTTTTATTTCCAGCCAGATTTCGCATTTTGGCATATTTTCGCATATTTACCCATCATTGCCATGTTGAATTGCTTTTGCTGCCTGTGGTTTTTAAACACGACCGCCTTCTCAACGGCCAGCAAACTACTAGCGGCGAAGTTAGAAGAAACATTGGTTCAGCCAAGGCCATCACAAAACTTAATCAGATATCGACATTTGTGGGTTGATCTGTCGCACATGATGCAGCAGCTCGGACGTGCCTATTCCAATATGTACGGCATTTATTGTCTCATTGTTTTTTTCACAACGATCATTGCATTGTATGGCGTTATGAGTGAAGTTCTAGACCATGGAGCCAATTTTAAAGAACTTGGTTTTTTTATCATCGTTGTTTATTGCATGACATTACTCTTCATCATTTGCAACAAGGCGCACGGCGCCAGCGAAAAGGTTTGTGTTGCTATTAGTGAGATAGAAGATTCAAAAATTTCATGTATTTTGACGTAAGAAGAGTGTTCTTCTTTCGGTGTTCACTATAACCTATTTTAAAAGGGAAAAATAGCAAATATTGAACAAAAGAATCAATTGATTCATTAATGAATTCCGTAGGTTGGACTGGAATTTCAAACCCGTCTATTGAATGTGAACTTGACGGCAGTGGATAAATCAACGCAAAAGGAAGTTGAAATGTTTTTGATTGCCATTCACAAGAATCCACCAATTATGAATTTGGATCAATATGCCGATATTAATAGGGGTCTCATTACATCGGTATTGTGCATTCCTTCTCTGGAACAATTTTTCTATCGTTCCTTTTTATTAAACTAAAATCATAAGTAGAAAGTGACATCTATTTATTGTAGAAATATTTGCCTTTTCAGAATATTTCCTTCATGGCCACTTATCTGGTTGTGTTGCTTCAGTTTAAATTGTCTTTGGTGCGGCACAGTGCTCGTCAAGCGGCCCATAATTTATTGCTCAATAGGACAATGTTGCATCAGCAATAATAATCTTTGAATCAAAATGTAAAACAAATCGTCACAAGAAATCAAAGAAGAAAAAATGATCGATGAAAAATCTTCACTTTAGTTTGGTTTTTGCACTGATTTTGCTTATTCAGGATAAAATTGACCGCATTTCTAGTACGAATCTATTGAAAGAAAATCGTTGTTTTTTCTTTGTTCAAAACAAAAAAAGAAGAGAAATGATAAAAAACGACAAGAACAACAAATATAAAATGAAAATAAAATAAAAATTTAACAGAAATCATAATTCAAAAGTTGTCGATGTGAATTCGCTATTCGATTCGCCGTACGAGGTCGCGCGCGTGTATGTGTGTGTGAAATGCCATCTCGTACGTATGGTCGAACTGTCAAATTTGCCGGATTTGCCCAAGTTATCAAGCACGTACGCATCGTTCCAATCGCCCATTGTGAATGGTGCTACGAAAATACAAGTTTCAATAACAACACTGACATTTGGCGATCTACAGATTAATACATATATTTTATTATAGCACAACTGAAAAGTTGTAAATTTTAGTTTCGGAAACAGCAGCAAAATAAAGAACGAATTATCATAAGACTTGTTCGCATCTTAGGTTCAAATCTAATTATTTGTGTTTTTCACTCTCGTTTAGTAATTAGTTGTGTACTAGAGCGTCGAACGTTCAATAAATTTAGATTCACGTAATAAAGTTTGAGTTCAGGTGAGTGTGTGAGCAGAGATTCTCTCTTTTTTTGTGGTTGCTTTCGATTTCGACATTGAATTGTATGTATTGTATGACAATTTTGCGTGAAGCCTTAACCCTAACCATACATGTAACAACAATGGAGAACCTGCGAAACAGAACAGAAAAAAAATTGATTGTACTTGTCAAGCCAACCAAACCAAAGAAATGCAAATATTCATTCGGTTGTGTTTTTTTTTGCTTCTTCTTTTTCTTTTATTCAATTTATAGCTCGACCATTGTTCATTACTCCATTAATCCAAGAAACGAGTCTGATAGGATAAATTCGATTGCAACACAGTGCAGATAAATCGATTGCCAAATTGTATACATATATACCACGTACAAAGAGCGCTAGTCAGCTGTTTTAAAAGAGGAAAAAGAGAGAATACATTGCCGACTCGTGACGCTTTTTTCTTCCTCTACTGTGTATACAAGAAGAATTCTTAGCATGGAAGTGTATTTAAATTTGACAGTGCAAAGTGTTTAATTAGGATTTTTTTTTACAAAAAATGCCGGAATGAAAATGCATTCAAAATTGTTATAAGAATTAAAAACCAGTCAGGGTGTGCAATAGAAGGAAGAAGAAATAACTTTTTGGAAATCAAGTTTGAGAATAAATTAAGTGGAAGATTCGAGACAAATTACTTTCTAAAGAACATGGGCTCATTGACTAATTGCATTGATAACCGCCCAAGAACATAACATTACTGAATGAACGAACTTTTTTTTTGTTTGAGTGCATGTTGATTCACTTGAACGGCAAACGACAAACGATAAACGATTATCACACAACTGAGTATCCACGGAGTCGACTGTCGCAGGGAAAAACAATACTCATTGAATTAAATATAAACTAGAGCCAACGAACGCACAGAAGCAATTCGGTGAAATGACACACTTTCGACCAATTTGTTTAATGCCATTGTCCGTATCGAACAAGTAAGTTGCCGTTGTCATATTGATTTGATTTGCAGCTCACAAAAACACATCAATATTTTTAAGTGAACGAAAAAAAAACGGACACTAATCAATTGTTACTTTGCAGTGCCGACAGAATAGTAAGCGTGCCGCCGATCAGACAGAAGAATACGAAAAAAGACATTTTGAAAATTTACAAACCAATCAAAACGTAAGTGATGACAATGCACACATGGCTATCTTTTATCAACTGGTGACATTAAAAATAGTTGGTTTTCCAATAAAAAGAATTAAATATGTTCACTGAAGAGAGCTCGAAATGCCATTTTCAATTTTATCAGAAAACTAATCCAGCATTGGACAAAATTCATTTCCACTAATTCAACCTGTTCCTCTATACCGCAGAAAATTTCGTAAAAAGTTGACATCGGTGCGTCGACGTTCGGCGTTCGTAATATTTCAAGCCATAAAACCGTTGCTGAATGCGGGCAAACTGTTGACGGAGAAAGCATCATCAAAGAAGGCGACAATATCAAAACCATTGCTGGCCAAGGCCAACAGCATCCAATCGGAAACGACACCGACGGACATGTTCGAAACGGAGGCCGCATCAACGCCCGAACTGAGGAACAACCACCAAACACAACAACAACAACAACACACCGGCCGATCACAGAAACAAACAAAAACTGTACAAACACGTAAAACGTCGAAATGCTGTGATTCAACGAAAACAACGCGCAGTAACCGCGAAAAAATTTTACAGGAAAAAGAAGACTTTCAATTAGCGAAAATGTTACAGGAATGTATTGGCACAACGGATGCGCCATCCCGCTATTCGTTGCGCAGTCGAAACAAATCATCGGTATCATCTTTATCATCAACATCATCATCACAAGAGCTGTTCCACAGCAAGGGATATGCGATGGGCACAACGCAAACCAAGTACAAGAAAACCATTCAACCATTCGCTGATACAACAACCGCTGCAACGGCAACAACAAAAGATACGGTGGGACGTTCACAGCGCAACAACGGCGATACCAATGATAAATTCATTGATTTTAGCTTTCAGAAATTGACTCGAAGCCGACGAATTGCAATGACTATGTCTGGCGTATGAATTAATAAATCATATAATTATATATATATATATATAAATAATGAAAACAAAAACTCCGTCGCTCATTACGAAGCAGTGCAAATGGAAACTTAATTAATTTTTGTATTTTTTTTTCTCTCTTTGTTTATCAACAACAACAACAACAACAAAAAAAAACACTTTATACGTAGGATTTACAAATTCAAATTATTCTCTTTTTTTTGTTTCTTCCTCTTCTCGAGTTGAAACCAATTTTCTTTGTATTAACATTTAATATTAGAAATTCGTACATCGTGTAGTTCTATTCACTGCATTTGTCACCAAATGCCAGTTGGTTGTGCTCATTTTCATATTAAAATCTTAGAAAGAACAACAACAATAACAACAAACAAAAAACCTATTGTAATAAAACAATGTCAACATTATTTCGGTGTAAAACCCCTTTTTCAATACAAACATCCGGGTTTTCATTTCCAATATTTGATATTAAATCATTTTTGCTTTTGCAGAACACGTGCATGTCAAATCGTTCAGAATGTAATCGTACGGAAATTGATAAATATTGTACGATTAGTAAAACCTTAATGGATTGAAATGTCTGTGATTTAGTCGAATCGATAATATCGATTGTCATAAGTCTCAACCGTTGATTGCTCTATCTCAACGAGTAAACACTTGTGCTGAATAGTTTATGAACAAACATGGAGAGATTATAATGATTCAATGTTTCCAGTCGATTATTCACGATGAACTCTGCTACAATGGCTAACACAACTACGGATAGTCCGACTACGAGCACAATAATCTCATTTAATTGAGAATTCCGATTTGGAGTGAAATCATTTAGATCATCATAATATTTGAGCGATTGGCCGTCATTTTTCCATTTCTGAATCAAACCCGCTTCCAATGCGTACCTTATGATTTCATTCACCTCGGTAATATACGGAAAATCTTTTCGAATATTCAACGATATGCTGTAGTTTTGAATGTTTTCGGCACGGTTGAAACAGAAAATTTTGTTTGCAGAAAATAGTGCACTTCGTTCCACCCATTTCCGTGACACAGCCACCGCGTACTTTCGGTATTCTTTGGACATGAGACGATTTAAGTAGTCTTCAACATCAGTGTGAACCATGAATTGCTCTTTAAGATGATGGGGGAGCTACAAAGGTAAACACATACGTATATTTACTGTTAAAATAGTGTATTTTGGTCTTTGATTGGGAAGAAATTGTTTCTAGAATATCTGAGAAATTTCTCGTATTGAGATTATCTGAGAATTCTTCACTTTCAACTCTTCGAATCCAGTTTAAATATTGAAATCTATTTTTTTCAGGTAAATATTTTACCTTATCATTTTTCCAAACCGAAACATTCGAGAAAGGACCACCGACCAAATGGAAATTATGTTCACTCAACTCGTCGATTGTTCGAACTTGATATCCAGGTGCTGGCCATGCTATCAATTTGATAAGCAACACATTCCATGCGACTGTTATCAAAATACATACAATCAACAAAAAACCTCGGGGCATTTCAATTATTGAGCTATTTGACCGAAACATTCTATTTTGAGGCCCATCGATTGAAGTTGGAAACGTAATTTCTTGTGCTGTATAGATCAATTCATAATTCATGTAGCCCAATTTGTCACGCTTGAGCCTCATTAGAAAGATAATCACAATACTAATGACGGAGACATGTAAATAGCACCAAATCCAAAATGTCTTCGTTGCCACGTACCACACTTGCAGTCGCAGCGTAAGTGGCTCCATACGTTTGACACACCATGTCAAATCATCGTCATAGTATGAAAATGATGAAAAAAAATAGCGTTGTGTGTAGTTGTTGCTCTCCAGGCCGCCAATCAGGAAATCGGTTTCACTGGAACAAAACCATTGCAGGCAGAATGAGACACTTTTTTTTCTGACTAATCAAGTTTCCAATGATTGATTTTTTTTCTCTGAGTTTTTTTATAAACAAATTTTTAAATTGATAAAAATATATGAATTTTTTTCAACTAACATATGAAATGATTTGCTTAAATTGCCATGGATTAATTGCTGGAGTACATCATGATATGCTGTAGCATTTAAATATTCAAAATGTAGAGGTTTTTGTAGTTTCTGTGAGATTAATTGCATTGTGTAATCGATTCCACTGTAAAGTCCATTCCATTTGGTGAAACTTGCAAACGGTGCAGCGTTCGGACTTTTCACTCTAAAAATGTTCACATTCGACCGGCTATCTTTTAAATATGATTCACTCACGGTACAATCACCGACGGAATAAAGTTCAAAATTTGATGCATTCATATATTTTATCGTCTTATACAATTTCCACTTGTTTCCGAATTTCAAATGGAAGAATAAAGATAAATCTTCACTGATATTTCTCAAACTGTTGACAATTTGCACGATTTTTGTTTCTAATTCAGCTTCAGACTCACGATATGTTTGCTCAAAAATAATATGAAAAAATCCTTTTGCTCCATTCAATAAACTGGCCATGCGTTCCGTTTCATTCGCCGCTATAAATATGATGTAAGATGATTTTCCATCGAATTGGTTGTGTACTTGGTCGATGATTTTCAAGGAAATTGAACGATTCACGATTTTTGTTTCCAAAAATACATTTTCCAACGTTGATTGTTTCGAAGTGTTTGTCAGGAGTAGAATGAAGTGTTGTTGACGGGAGAAAGTTAGGTTTGTCAAAAAATAATTTATACACTCCAATTCGTTGGACTTTCGATTGGACATAGGTAAAGCCATTGGAATACTATATAGAATTATTGATAAAATAAGAATAAAAACTGAATGCATTATTTTCGATGAATTATTGAAATATAAGAAGAAACATATATTTCCATCTGGAAACTCAAACAAAGACTGAACTCTGGTCAAAAATACAACTATTTCCTAACTGAAATTCAGTCCACATATTTTTGAAAATTCCATGCGTTTCGAGAACTCCCAAAGCCATACAAACTGTGTCACAAATGCAAATAAAACGTTTTTGGTGCGAGTGTTTTTACACGCTATTTTCGTAATTTTTTATTCTAATCGATGTGATTCTTGGAAGTGATAAGCAGCAAGTAAATAATGCCTAAATATCAATTAAATCTCGAAACAAATACAAAACAACCAAATTGGCTAGATATACAGCTGAGATTTTTGTAAATAGCTCGTTATTTGGTAGGTACATTATGATTTTGTGACTTATCACGCTACAAAAACCATTTCGTGTGGTTGGGAATTGGTGACAAAAATGTGAATGCTTTCATGAAAATAACCTTCTTACTTTGGTATATTACGATTCTTAGCCGGGTATCCAATTTTGATCTCTGATTTGGTTTTCAAAGTATTTTTTGTTCAGATGTCAAACTCATTTTTTGAACTGAATTGTCCAAAAATGACACAAATCGACAACTTGTTTTGGTTTGTATCTTAAATCTCATTCATTGCATAAAATGAACAGTTTTTTGTCGTTAATATAATTTTATTTGTAGAAAATGAAAATGATAAAGGGTTCCTTTAGTACATTAAGACATTAGAAAACATTCAATGTAGAAAGAAGTATTGACATTGCCTTTTTTCATTCAGCACCTCCTAGGATGATCAAGATTTATTTCATTTTGCAAAGTGTTAAAATTTAGATTCTTAATCCGAAATCATTTCTTAAATGAACAACACTTGACCGTGTTCGAAGATTTACTGTCATTTAAAAGTTTTTCCCATTTGATTGTTCAAACATTAAATGTACGAAAAATTCTATATTTTTACATTTTTTTCATCTAGTTCTATTCAGTATACGACGAATCTTAGAATCTTCAGTATTTAGCGATAATTTTTATGTATAATGTTATTATTCTGAATATGTAATTTTCCTCTCAAACTTACAAATTATTCACTTTTCCTAGAACATTTCATTGTTTGATTATAGGAGAAAAATTGATAAATGAACACTCCAGTTTGTTTTGAATATAATGAATGGGATTAACACTTTTAATAACAATTGAAAAAGATATCTGTTTTTCTCTGTTTCGCTTGTATTTGAGTGAGTGATAGAATTGTGTTGTGAACCTACATAGAGCTTCCTATATTGCTATAAATTTCAATGTTTCAATCAGTAGGTTTAGTTCAGTGCGATTATTGCATTCGATCAGATTGCACACAAATTGTTCGGAATAATTATTTCGAAATTTTAAAACAGAACAATCACTTTCGTCCGTTCTTTGCTAATATTTTGATTGGATTTGATGATATTACACCATGGTGACCGTATCGTTCAGGGAAATAATAAGTAATCAATCATGGAAATCACAAAAATAAATATTGTGATAAAAAGAGATATTTTTCTAATATTTTAGTGTTGTACCTGGTAATCACAACATCGGTGTATGCAATCACTGATTACTGCAACGGTAATGACCAGGAAACGGGCTGTGATGTTTGTTGTAATTCTGGAGAGCATATTCAGTGTGGTAAAACGGATGGAGTGAGTGAAATTGCCGATTTTCGGTGCGTTGAATCATAGAAATACGATCTAATTTCTTCAATTGCACTTAGGAATTTGACTCGCAGTGTTCATCAAATGCTACACTGATCGAAATGACACAGGAGATCAAAAATATGATTCTAGAATTTCACAATCAAAAACGAAACGATGTGGCTTTGGGCAATGTACCTCCGTATGAATCAGCCAAGCGTATGGCCACGATTGTAAGTAGAAATTGAATTGTTTGAAGATAGAAATTTAAAATGAAAATAAAGGCTTAAGAATATTCAATTTGCTTTAATAAAAATCACCAGGTTTGGGATGATGATCTTGCAAAAAATGCTGAATTTCACGTACGAAGATGCATTTCTGCGCATGATGAGTGCCGATCGACAGGTGATTGGAATTAAAATTTAAAAAAAGATAGAAAAAACCAATTTTAAGTATTTGAAATTTATTCAGACATATTTAGATCTCCGGGTCAAAGTATAGCTATTGATTTGTATGAGCTTCATTGGAAATCATACGATAACCAGCCAGACGAGCTCGTATTCCATTTGCTGAGCGGATGGTGGGATAAGGAGTATATGAATGCTGATATGAGTATAATCAAGGACTGCATTTTGCCGGATGATGAGTTTGAGTGAGCGAAAGGAAAACTAATTGAGAACAATTCAGTCATGTTTAATATATCTGCCCATAATTTATTGGTTTCAGCCCAAATCAATTCGGACATTTTACGCAACTGATTTGGGATAACGCGAATACGGTGGGATGTGCAGCCTCGAAATTTTTGTATGATAATAATAATGGACTAAAAAATGCAGTTATGTTGACCTGCGACTATGCATTGGGAAATGGTCCACACGAAATGGTGTATGAACCGGGACCAGCTGCATCTGGGTGTGAGTCTGGCACAAATCCCGAATATCCAGGTCTTTGTTCTGTGGATGAGAAATGGAAACATTTTTACCTCAATAATTAAAACGGACAATACACTTTCGAAACACAAATACCACATTTCTTCTGAATTTGATGCACATTCATCTAAAAGAAAAATCCATCAACTTTTTTTTTCAGAGATTAGTTGTGATCGAAGCAAAAAGATTGTACTTTACTTCCAGTTCGTCAATAACATCAATCAAGCGCGTGCAGCAACGCGAACGACGCCACAATCAAAATTCGCAATCAGAAAATAATTATTTTCAGTTTCGCACTTTGATCATCAATTTATGCTTGATTTACAGCCTTTTGTGCTATTTTAAACCATAGACGATAGTTTTTCGTGAACTTACCTAAGCACATTGCGGTACTACACAAATGTCACAAATTCCTTGTGATTATAATACAATAGCATCAGTGATTTCATTCATTTTCGCACATTTGCATTTATTGCCCCTTATTTATATAATGAAATTCAAATCTATTCTAAATTTATCTCGATTTGCAGGTGTTATCAATAGAATAAGTGGAAATAATAACAGATTTGGACTGAGCAAAATTTTAATGAAATAAAACTTGTTTAAAATCACATGACAACATGTTTCCATCTGTATCCGTTCAAAATCATTCGACGTGAAGGTAGTAGAAGTCATTCGGCGTTGAAACACGTGTTTGATTTGGTTTCACATCGTACGTTGGACCGATGGGAAAGTGAATAAGTGAACAATTTGTATATATACTCAACATTTGTTTCAATCTGCATAAACATTTGTTTTTCTTCCATAACACATTCATTTGATTATTATCAACACGCGATCCCATCAAGTTTATATGGATGAATGCCTAGATATGAATGAGCTCATCCGCCATAGTTACTTCGTAATAATTAAAAACTCCTTGAAATACAAATTTCTTGCTATTTTTGGTGAATAATTAGTTACATTCATTTCCTTCGGTCACAATATAGTAAATACCGAATCAAACAAGAATTGTGTGCACGGAGTGATATCTAAATTAACAGGTGTTACTCCACTGACGATGGAGCTCAGATGTTCAACACCGTTGAAAGGTTTTTAACGTTATGAATGTCATGGAAAAAACAACACTTAAACGGTGAGGTTTGCTGCGTTATGATGTTCGCCAACATTAGAATAACATTGTTAGTTAAAAGATCAACATGTTAAGCTGCTTGCTAAATGGTCAATAAAAGTAACAGCTTTCGAATCAAAGTAGAAAATATTCAATAGGTGTATTATTGTAAACACCAGGTAAAAACTGGTTTATATTCGTTATAAGTAGAATATAATCCGAGTATTTTTCCAATACGGTACGTAATTTTGCTAAGAAAAAACAATAAAAGCAAACATCTGGACTAAATTTGACACATATGATACAACATATTGCTGAAATTTAAATTTCTAATCGAAATATCTGCGCAAAATTGTGTGCCATAAATGTGATATGAAACAGAGCTCGTGATTGTTGATTTACACAGTATAGAGTATCAGCGCCAACCATGAAATAAAACGAAGCAAGGCAATTTTACTTATCGGTCTGTTTGAAATACAGTACTAAATAAAGTAACATGATGTCATCATATAAGAGTGTTTTTTTTCCAAACGATTAAAATCAGGATTAAGTGCTTAACATGGGCTTAGTGCACTGGGCTATCATCATAAACAATGATTAGGTATGTAGTGTTACCTTTCGAAAACTCGTTCAAACTGGAAAACAACTGTGGTGATCATTGAAATGAAATTCACTGGTTGTGTGCTTTTTCTTCCATCATAGAAACAGAAATAACGTATTTATTCATAGTAAAAGCGTTGACGTTATTCTTAGAATAATTTAAATGTACGTAATGAGAGATAAATATGTAATGTCAATGCTTTTATGGATCCTAATTACGTAAGAAAGAAAGAATGAATGAATGAATGAAAGAAAGAAAAACTAGCTTATTATTACATGAGTCTAAGTGGGGAATCCAATAGCTATCTACATTTAATCGCATAAATATTATAGCATATTCTTCATAGTTAAATTTCTTCTTATTATTCATCCCACAACTTTCGATGACTAACAAATGTGTTACGATATTATTCTCTGTGTTATTCCAATTCCGCAACAATCTCATCTTGTTTGTTTGTTCTAATAAAATTCGGTAAGCTCTTAAACTTCTAATGAATGTGTGTATTTCTTTCTGTTTGTCTACTAAAATTGCGGCTCGATAATTGCTCAAGTAAGTAGTTGCAATCACAAGTTACACTAAGTTTAAATACAAAAGAAACGTCAAGTCTAATTTGCATCTGGTAAATGCTAAGTATGTAAATAAATATATCTCGTTTCGGAGAGCATCCTGAAAAAAATGCACTAGTTTCAATGAAGAGATGATCGGATATGTGTTTCAAATGACCAGCCAAAAATAACCTGTTTGTTCAATAGTATTGAGGCAAAGCTGGTGGTGCATAGAGAGGCGTGTAGGGATTGTATGGTGTTGGTGGAATCGGTGCGCCTGGGTATGGATTTGGTTGATAGTGATATGGTGATGCGTATGGATTATGATATGGTGGCATAAGATAGATATTTTCCGGGCGACCATTGAACAGATAAGAGCCTAAGTGTGTGATTTTCGAGTCCGGACCAGGTGTCGCACCGACTTGTGGTTTTGGTCGATATGGTTTCTGTGGCCGTTGTGGCAAGTACGATGGAAATTGTGGTGAGCCAAAGTTGGTCGTCGGTTGTTGATTCCATGGGAATACTCCAGTTGGCTTAGCATTGCTAAGATAAGTGATGGGCAAATTAATGAAAGGATTGATTGGGTATTGAGGTGTAAGCGGTTGGATGGTTGGTGGTTGAGAAATATAACCCATCCCTGGTACAAACATATATGGAGTTGGTGGCAATCGAATATAAAAAATGGGCGAATTTTTCGATGTACCTGGTCGACGCTTGTTTGCTCTTGATCCATCATCACTATCCACACCATCCATACCATCCACATCATTTGTTGAATCGGCATATTCTTCATCATACTCCTCGCCATTTTGCATGGACGGATCTAGCATCGAGCCCGAATAGTAAGGTGAATAAAATGCCGACATGTACGGCTGTTGATAGTACGGATTGTAATATGGTACGTATGGCATTGAGTACGGTGTAGGTGCAAAGTATCGATAGTAATCTAACATTTTATCGTTTCGATTCTTTTCCCTTGCCTTCGATTCGAAATCATTCGCCATTTTAGTTGTTGTTGTCGCTTTCATCGGTTTATCATCATCTTTTGATTCGCTAATGTGATTTTCACTTATGTCAGGCTTTCGACCGCTGCTATTGATGATTCGCTTGTCAGCTGTTACGGTTGAAAACTTCTTCTGAACTTCGTCTATCGATGCAGTCAGACTCTCCGATGGCAACGATGCACACATGATTGCTGAAACGGTGCACAGCATCACGATTATCCGGCTCATGTCGAACATTTTTGTTTTGCTGAAAAGAACAAAAAATCTCAATGAAAAAACGGGAAATGATACCTGAAAATTGTCTAAATGAAATGCTAAAAGGGGAAAAAAGAGAAGAAACCAAAAAAGGAGTCTTTGATATAAAAAATAGAAAAAAAAAACAGTTTTTTCTTTTCAAAGTGAATCTTCATAAAATCGTATTAAACCCAAGAAGATTTCATCGGTAAAATCAATTTTTCAATACGAAAAAAATGGTTGAGTTCATTTTTCAGCGATTGAAATCAAAGACCAATGCTATCGCAAGTAATTGGAGTTTATTTTTTTTCAGATTTTGTTTATATTTGAATACTCATCTGCGGTTCAAAGGTGTTCACACGTTATACGACATTTGAATGGTCCATTGCTATTGGATTTCATTGAAACTGAAGATGTGAGGTTGCAATAGCGAACAAGAGGCTTCTATTTGCCATCGTTTTATAAGCAGGACAATAAATGGCTATTGATCACTGCAAATGCTATAAAACGATAAATCATGTGAAGCAGTTTGATCGTAAAAAATTGAAGCTTCATCTCTTTCTCTCCTCGTCTCCCTCTTTTTCTTTCTCTTCATCTCATTCTCTCTGCTTCTCTAGTGAGGTAATTTCATTTTAAATAGAATTAAAGAGTCAAATGTGGCTATTTATTGAGTTGAGCAATAACCGTAATTGGGTATTTAAATGCATGGTATATGCATGGAATGAATTAATGTATCAATGCGAATTATCGGGATGAAATCATGATTCAATTGTGCTGTACGAACGGACACAGCATCGACCAAGATCAATAAGTCCATGATTAATAAATTAGCTTATTGCAGCTGAGGAGATAAGCGAAGGTCCTGCATCTAAGCGTCTGACAGCTCACTTCTAGCGCTACGAGACAAGTGTCAAAAGTTGTGACACAGATCGTTCAATGTATTATTGAATCTTTTTTATATTTGTTAATAAAGTAGACAAAAAAAATAAAAATGTCACGAATGTGCAAAATTGATTTTTGTGAGAGCGTAGCACGCGATAAACATTATTTTTATAAATAAAAAATGTTTCTTTCATTACGGAACATTGTTGATGCGTTCAATTTGTCGCGTTCATGAGTGCGTCTAACGACGTAAAGAATTGAAATGAACTTCACTGAATGCGCTCATCGCAAATTCGTGTTTTACTTTGTTTTGTTAGTGTGGTGCAGGGGTTGTGGAGATAAGCGCCTCAATAATTATTCTTACAGGTTAATCGCTGTGGAATGAAATCGGAGCACAGCCAAATCAATAAAAGAACAATCACTAAAATTATGGCGTGGTCGTGTGTTTTTCTTTCTTCCTTCCTGCGTGAACTAATGTGAGCTATCGAAAGGAAGGAGTTGATGTGATGCACGTTGAAATGCGATAAAATGTTTATAATCAAGAAGAAAAAAATGAGAAAAAAAAGAAACAAAAATCTTCACGGGATAAGAACAATGAAAGGAAATCTCTGTGTCGAATCAATATATAATGCATTGATCGAGTGCCAATGCCAAATACCACAATAAAGACATGCGCGCGTTCGGCATGCGTGCGCGAAATGTAGACATGTGCTTGTGCAAGTTGATGCATATCATCAGTGTAAATCTTGAACGCATGCGAAACAGGCACACGAATCAAATGAAATGCAGATTGCAATCGAAATGTGTTAGTTATCCGATAATAACAACCGGCCTTGAAAGGACACACACTCGACGCACACACAAACATGCGCATTTACACAACAGCCCATCTGCGCGAATGCGATCTAATAATAGCCACAAAATCGGGTTAGCAACCTTTATACGTTGCTTTTATTTCTATCAATTTTACTTTGATCGTCATCATCTCTACTCTCCGCTCTTCTTCTTCTTCTTTACTCTGTTCATTTCATGCATGTTTTGGTTTGTTCTTTTCTTTTTCACATGCTTTGCCTTCCTTTTTGGTCTTAATTGCGTTCTATGTACGCGCAAGCGCGAGTGCGCAGTATCATCATGTGTTTTTTACTTTGCCGTGTGTATATGTATTCTTTCATTTCTCTCAATTTGTTTCGCATTCGTTTGTGCTGCGGTTATGGCCATTCGTTAATCGCATCGGCAGCGGTGTTCGATGGCGATACAAATTTATTCCCTAATAAGCAAAGGAAAAATTTAATCAAATTATGGACATAAACACAAGTAATAAAATCAACGAGAATTTTTCGTATTTACGCGATTTCAATTTGTTTAGGACACACACTATATGAATGTCCGAGAATGAAAACGCAACTTCTATTCACAACACATATAAGTGAAACAAAAATAAAAAATTTATTGAAATGAAACAACACAATCGAATTTTTTCAAAGTGTAACAACAAAAAAGATTTTTTTAAAGTGTAACATCAGTATGTAGTAAGTGTAACAACATACCGATGTTACACTTTGAAAAAATTCGATTTTGTTGTTTCATTTCAATAAATTTTTTATTTTTGTTTCACTTATATGTGTTGTGAATAGAAGTTGCGTTTTCATTCTCGGACATTCATATCTCTCTCTCTCTCTCTCTCTCTCTCTCTCGCTTTTCCGTCCGAGTGTCGTTTGATGAATGGCTTAAATGTTTTCAACATGTGCTTAAGTGGTTTGCCACACGGAATAAATAGAGTTCGCTTGCGCGTGTGCAGAATGAGCGAAATGTAGCAGCTCAATGGGTTTTGGCCGAGCAACGGTCTTTGGATCGGCGAAAAGAGTGGGTCGGTCGTTTCATATGAAAGAGTCTGTTTCTTTTTTCTCTTCTGTTTACCGCATGTCAAAATGGAATGAATTATACGATTGCACTGCCGGCGTATATGCAATGAACGAATAAATTTACGTTCGCTCTGAATTCAGAATTCGTAATGTCTGTGTACATTCGCATGGAGAGAAAGAGAGAGACAATGATATTGAGTACAGTGCGCCTTGTCACTGTCACAAACGATTATGTAAGTAATCATTCCATTCTACATTAATTTGACAACTAAAGTGTTGAACTGGAAGTGCACATGTGAAAAACGGATTTTTTCTCCGGCCGCATTGCAATGCAAATATGCTTAAGAGCGATGACAATAATTCAATTAAAATGACAAACCGAAATAGTTGAAGTTCCCGATGCGATTTCAACCGTATACTGACTGCATCTGTCAATGTCTGCATCGCAAAAATTGGTTGCTGCTGCAACACTATGTGTGTGTGTGCAAACCAGTTAGTTCGATTAGTCAGGTGGAAAAAGGAAGATTTTACGTGAAATTTATGCAAATATTCAGCGGCGAACTGTCACAAAACCCACTGGTGCCATCATCAAGTCATCAAATAAAACATGAAAATGATGCCACCAGACCTAAGGCTGACGGTTTTCCCTTTCGATTGACTTGGCTTTTTATCTCATTTGTTGTTTTCTTCTCCGTCTCGCAACTGGTCGACTTTATTTATGTTCGCTTCAAATGAGATGAATAAAATATTGTTATTGCTCATAAAAATTATTATTCCTTTGCAAGGCTATATAGAAGCCAAGGCTGCTGCAAAAAGGCTTATCATTTTTCACTATATAGATAGATTTTTTATTATTCATTTACATACTGGCGCACATAATGCAAATTTCTCAATTTAGATCAGTGTTTTCGTCACGACAGCCGCATATTAAAACGGTGCACCGAAGATCGCATTTATTTTGCGCAACGGAAGTTGCCATTTCCATACCTTTATTAAGTCACACAGACCAGAATTTATGGGTGATTTCGATAGATGTTTGCGATGTAGTTAATGCGACTAAATAAATCCAAATGCATATACATATGAAAATTACGAGCGAACATCATTTGTAGCAGCGCTCAAATGTGCCGTAATTAGTGTGTTTTCTGTTCGTGCCGCTAAAATACCGGTACATTAGAAAAAAAAAGCTGCGACGAGTGCGACGGCAAAGGAACGTGCAAAATTTGATTAATGGATCAATAGCTGATGTCTCATTTAGATTATTATTTAATGTTTTATGTGGCTGGAGCATGTGTTTTTTGTGCTGTTGTCGTCGTCGCCATCATGATCGTTGGCTACAGAAAACGCGAGCAAACCACTTGACAGCAACAAATGCATCAAAACAATTTCAAATTAAAATTTCCAATTGAAGAAAATCATTTATTTGCACCGCGAAATGATCACATCAGATATGGTGTGGTGTGTGTGTGTGTGTGTCGTGGCGAGAGAACCAGCAAGCGACAACTAATCATTGTTCTGGTATCAGCAATTTTTATGTGTATGCTAGAACAGCGCAGGCATATATAAATCTACGCATCGAATTGCGCTCACTTGCAAGAGAGAGGACACGCGCGCACATTGAGATGGGGCTCCGTATACGTACGGGCTGAAGTAGATAAATGTCATGAAAAACGAGTCAAGATAATCTTGAAGACAACCGATGAAAATTATTAACATGATTGCGATTTATCTTTTGCGTTGTGCGCCGGCCACTGGCATTGGCAGATCGGTTTGGTGCTGCTGTTGATGCTGATGCTGATGCCTCAAATGCAAACATCGAAGTTCAACCGTTTTGTAATGCAGGAAAAACAACGCATGCCGCATGCGTGTTAGCACCTAAAACATTGCATCGCACATTGAACAAATTGCACATAAATTGCATGATTCGTTGCCACCAAGCGCCGTCTCACTCGTACATTCATTCTTCATCTCAGCCGGCGATGAGGATGATGAGCTGAGGCGAACGCAAGCCCGAGCGCGCGCACAAGTACAAATTACGTTATGGCGCCATTTATTTATTTACATTTTTTTAGATGCGCGAGAGTGCAAATTGTATGGCATGTAGAAGACATAAAGCGAACCAATAAATTTCCTAGGTCAGCATTAGTAATTTAGGAAGCAAGAAATTAAATGCAAACACCGGAGCTGAGCGGCTTCGGACAACGACGACGACAACGAAGCCGAAACAGAAAAAAAAATAAATTGAACACGGAGAAAAGTGCCTCACACC